GATTAGCACCCCAGCGGAAAAGAAGTCAGTGGATCCCAGGAAACAACACTTTCACAAGGAAGAGGAGACATCGAGAGATAATTACTGGACCGAATTAAAGTTTTGCATTTAAACTTTCTCCTCCCTGGAAGGAGAGTTTTTCTGAGGGTGGTTCCTTCCAACTCCTCCAAGGTTGACGTAGGCACCATGCTCACAGCATAGGGAGTGAGTTACATGGGGATGAGGCATTTCTTTGAGGACTTTGTCCCCCTTTCTCTCCTCTGCCACCTCAAAGGAGACCAGCAGACCCCTTGATTGGGGTCTGGGAGGTTGCTGCCCCCAGTCGAGGGTCAGCCTGGTGGCTGCTTCCAGGGCCTTGGGTAACAGAGTGGGTCAAGCAGGGGGAGGGCGAAAGACTGTGTTTTTAACTCCAGATCAAAGGATATTGAAGTGGAAGGTGCAAACTAGGTGTGTAGGTGCATTTTTGAGAATAGCAGCATCATAGTTTCCACCGGATACAGCAAGTCCCTAACACATCTCCCTCCCAAATAAAAACGGCCAAGACAGAATAAAGTGCGCCTAAGTCACAGTTATCGGGCACCTCGTTCTTTCAGCGAACTATGATTTGTCAAACCCGTGCGCACCGCTGACACTCCCTTGACGGCTTGTGTAGCCTTGACGTTGAGCAGCCGCGGGAAAAATCTGAGAAGAGTCAGGGGCGGGTGCGCGAAACGCCCGCGCTGCCACAGGCCTGAATCCTCCCCTCTCCTTCGGGCAGCGGAGGTCACAGGCTCCGACTGGCCCGTGTTTTCCGTACAGAAGCGCTGGAGTTGCAGTTCCAGGGGTGGGAGGCCGGGTGCAATTGCTCCGCGGAGCCCTTCCTGCTGGGTCAGCCGCGCTGCTCAGCCGTGCACCGCGATTTGTCCGACAGCGCGGGTTCCATTCACTGAATAACCTTCAGCAGGTGCCGGAACTGGTCCTCATCCTAGCTCCCTCCGCGCCCTGGCCAGAGGGATAGACACAGGAACGCTTCACACTGGTGTTTAATCTGTCGTGATGGGTGGCGAGGTATGCGCCCAGGTAGCCAGCCTTGCGCTCACTCACGGGGGTGGGGTTGATTTTTTTCTCCCGGTGCTTTGAAAGGAAGGGCGGCAAGCTAAAGAAGGAGCGAGATCGAAAGGGTCGCTCCCCAGGGGTAGGGGGCTCCCTATTCCGGCCACACGGGGGTGTTCCAGGGGCAGCCCTGGCCAAAGACTGCACCTGGCTGCTCTAGGGCGCCTGCGCTCTCCCCTGTCTCAGCGCCCCGGGCGCTGCGGGAGCCGCTTTCTCCACCCGCATCACTTTCTCTGGGGCTGGTAGATGCCAGATGCTGAGCCCTGAACTCGCCTGCGAGCTGGTAGGGCCCCTTCTGCGCGTCCCAGCCATTTATTCCATCCTGCAATTAAACCCGAGGTCAAATATCTCCTTAACGACGCTATCAGGCCAGTGGCTCATTATGGCGTATATTTAGCCATAAAATATGGGTTGTAGTGAGGAGGAGATGAAAATTATTGTGTTCTGGGAATGAATCCTTTTAGCAGAAACCAGAGCTGTTATTTACCACGGAGAGCTAAGTACAGGCTCAGTCTTCTAGGCGACCCCAGCAGGATCAGCCGCTCTTCCAGGCCCTTTCCGGCTGTGCCTGTGCCCCCGCCACAGGCCTGGCACCGGCGCGCTGCCTGTGCGCCACTTAGTGCATCCCAGAAGGAGCCGCTCTGGTCGCGGAGGAAGAACATCCTCATGGAGCCTTAGGGCGCTTATGGATGGTGTTCTGTCTCAGTTCCCAAATTCGGATCTCCCTGCAGCCCACTCGCCTAGTCTGTAGTGGGAAAGCCTTTCGCAGGATGGTAAGAAGACGGTGTGCTAGCCATGGCTTACTGTGGAACTATCTGGAACTTGGTAGAGTCAGTACACCTGGCTTCTTGAGAGGCTCTAGTTCTGACTGCCATGGGTGGGTTAGTTAACCTCTCTTGAAGTCAGTGACCTCATCTGTAAAATAGGGGAAAGGCCATGCCTTCTCCCGAAAGCTTAGGAGAATTAAATCCGACGTTAATCTGAAGCCTGTAGCCCAGTGCAGGGTACAGAGAAGTTTAGTTCTTGGTGACCAAAGGACAAATCACGAGGAAGGGGATAAAAATAAGTCTTTGGGCTGCTGATATGAATGCATGAATGAAACCACTCATGTAAGGGGCTGTCAGTGATTTGGAGTCCAGGATTGGATAGCCCTAGGTTTGGGTGGGGCCCAGACTATCACCAGCGGTGCCCACCAGCTTGGGTAACATTTTTCCCTTGTGCAGGATCCCCACCTGCCTGCAGGGTTGGACAGTCGTAGCTTTGTGGGCCGGGTGGGGGCAGACCATCACCCTGGGCAGTACCTGCTCTGGAAACCTGCTCAGAGTTGTCGTGATTTGCTGAGATCGTGCTCTCTGGTGATCAGCAGTGCTCACCGCAAGAGGAGTTGCTCACACATGCTCTCGTTCCCTGCTGCCTGCCCCACCAACCCCCGCCAACATCCTGATGTCCAGGTGGCCCCAGTTGGAACCAGAAGCTTCCAGACACACCATCAATGCTCAGCTTCATCCTGGCAATGCTGGGGAGATGGGAATTGTGTGCAGGGACATCCCCAGATTTAGCCTCTCAGGAAGTGGCCGGGTGACCCACAAGCTACAAATATTTGGACAAACCAGATGAGGGAGTCCCCAGTCTAAATGTTTGCCCAAGGCCTCCAAGGGGGCAGATTAATTATAAGGCTAATGGGCCCCCCAGGCAGGGCAGTTGTGTCCTAGAGGAAAGTGGCCATGTCCCCCACCCCCACTGGCCAAGGCCCAACTTTTCTGGCTTCCAAGCTGGGCAAGACACCAGAACTTCCATCCCTTCCCTATGTATGTCCTGCTTAGAGATTCTGGGAGCTCCTGCCAGATAGATGCAGGCTGTGCTGGGACAAGAACAGATTCTACAGACCCACTCCTGTGGACACACACACACACACACACACACACAAGTACCCTGGCACTACCTTCTTAGGGCAGCCTCCTCGTATCCATCTGAATACAGAGAAAGCAGCAAGTCCTGGGCAGCTTTCTGAGTTTCAGTCCTGGCAAGGAAAGGATGCCCGTGGCCCTTTCTGGAGTTTCCTGCCACTCTGAGAGGGAGGCACTGGGTGGCAGTGCTATGTGACCGTGGCCACGTCCCACTCCATCTCTGGCCATCTGTTTCTTCTTCTGGGAAACAGGGATTCTTTGTTAACTCTCCAGAGACCAGGTCTTTTGCCTGTAGCATTTGATGGTGCCATCATTTTTAATCATTTTGTCTTTCTCTGCAGTGTCACCTTCATCACCACCACTGTCCCCCTCATTAAGCACACACCAGTTTCTTCACAAGCATTTAATCATCACACTTCTCCAAGGCGGGTGGTATTGTCCCCATTTTCCAAGTGAGGAAATTGAGGTTCAGAGAGGTTGAGTAACACACAGCTAGTGAGGGATGCCACACTTGTTACCTCTCTGCATCATTTGTGCTCATTGATTGGTGATTAGGGATCTGAGTGGAAGATTTGTTCTAAAGTGACCCTGGCACCCATGGCTAGGGCAGGGGTTCAGGGGAAATGCAACAGGTTTAATTATGTAGATCCACCATTTAACTTAGAGTTTCTATTAAACGATGCTGCAAGATGTAACGTTTGTTAGTCAGTTAATATAAATTTATGGCTTATTGCTATAAAACAATGTGCATTCAGAGCTTGAGTTTCACTGGGTTGCATCCTTTATTCCCCGGGAACTCTGAGGAAGGAAGATAGGCTGCAGGCAGCTAAGGGTTGGACAGACTGCTGGGTGACTCCACTCATCTTCCTTACCCTCAGGTGCGGCTAAAAGCTCTAGCTCAGACCAAGAGGGGGCCATGTCCGAAACAGGCATCACTGCTCCGAACTGGCTTCCTTGCTACTGTTCAGGTTGTTTTGTTGCTGGGAGGGTCCCCCATCTGAGATGACAAATGTGACAGATACTCTTGGAAGTACATGGTCTATTAGTCGCAGCAAGAGAATCTGCCACCCAAAGCCTTTATTTCATTGGAAACTTGTTTACTGTCCGGCGAGCTGGCTGCTCTGACGAGGAGCCACAAGTACAATACCCCCATTGTGTCCTTCAGGACCTCAAAATTGCAGTTCTTACACAAACTCAGTTCTTGCTGTGAGAAAGGTTTTCTCTATGCTTCTTCCCCTCCAAGAGAGAGATTGAATGCTTTCCTTGTGTAAGGCTCAATCAAGCCGTGGAGGCAATAATGGGAGAGGCAGGAGGATTAGGCTCCCTCAGGCAATCTTTTCCCTTTGGAGATCATACTTGGGCTTGTTCTTTGGGTTTAACACAGACGCTTACAGCTGACCTATAGGGAGACGGACACTGGGCACAGCCAGCCAGCATCTGGCCACAGGGAACCCTCACTCACTTTGCAAGGCAGTGCCCGATGTTTATGAGGCACTCCCTGAGTGCCAGGCACCAGGCAGAGTGCTGAGTCTATGATCTCACTCAATCCCCGAAGCAGCATAACGGAGGACGCTTCATATGAGAACATGGAGGGAAGGAGAGGTTGTGACTCGCCCAAGGGCACCCATTAGTGAGTGGTGGAGCCGGGTCTCACACAGGCATTCGGTTCCAGACCCCAAGTTTGCAGGGCACCTGGCACGTGCTCATCGCCACCACTGACACTGAACATGAGATGCAGGGCACGTGTGCAGGATGAAGGAGCGTCGACAATAGTGCATGGGATTGGGGCCTGGACTGGGCAGTGTTCAACTAAATCACTAAATTTATACACATCACATTTATGGTAAGCAGTTGACTGCAGAGCACCCTAGAATCACTCTTGAAGTTCTAACCATTGCTTTCCAAACAAAAGAAAGGATGGGCGTGTCTGTTTGTTGTGTGTTTTCAGGCTTGTGACTCATCTGGAGCATCTGTTCCTCATAAGAGCACTTTTCCAAACAGGATTTGTGAAGAGGTGACCCAAATTTCCAGACAATGTTGGATGCAAACCGATTTGCCAGCAATTGCATCACTGTCAAAACCAGCTCTGCCCGTGTCTTCCGAAGATACCAAGTGAAATACGTATAGATGTGATTTACATCTGAGAAACCAAGGCAAGAGGCCATGGGAAGGGCCGGAGGTGGAACAGGACTGGACGGGAGCTGATAAATGGTTGTTTCTGAGTACTGGGCAGATAGGGATTGGTTATCCTATTTTCTTTACTTTCATATATTTCATTTTTTTCTGTAACCAAAGCAAATTAAAATCACCTGTCTTGATCTCACAGGGGCCAATGTGGGTTGTGGAGTGAAGCAGGAAGCTCTGCAGAGTTCCTTGGTCAAAAGGATGAATTACAAAAGAACCCCACGAACACGAAGAAGAAGAGAAGGGAATCCTGGGTATTTAAAGCCACAGAGAAACTTGATATGGTCTTGTCTCCTTCTCTCAACTGACAGTGAGAAACTGAAGACCAGAGAGGGTGAGTGGCTTATCCAGTTTGGCAGTCAGGTTAGTAGGTTAGTGATAGCACCAGGACTAGATTTCAGAACTGACATAGACTGCTGGTCCTTTTTTTTTTTTTTTTTTTTTTTGAGACGGAGTCTCACTCTGTCGCCCAGGCTAGAGTGCAGTGGCGCGATCTCGGCTCACTACAAGCTCCGCCTCCCAGGTTCACGCCATTCTTCTGCCTCAGCCTCCCCAGCAGCTGGAACTACAGGCGCCCGCCACCACGCCCGGCTAATTTTTTGTATTTTTCAGTAGAGACGGGGTTTCACCATGTTAGCTAGGATGGTCTCGATCTCCTGACCTCATGATCCGCCCCCCTCGGCCTCCCAAAGTGCTGGGATCACAGGCGTGAGCCACTGTGCCCAGCCGAGCCACTGCTGGCCCTTTTTAAAACCATATCATGCAGCAGAAAAAACTAATTTAGTGTTTGCTGTTTGTCTTGCTCCATTTGGGCTGCTCTAATGAAGTGCCATTGACTCAGTGGCTTGTAAACAGCAGACGATTGTTTTCTTACAGTTTTGGAGGCTGGAAGTCCAGGATCAGGGTGTCGGCACTGCTGAGTCCGCTTCCTGGCTGTAGGTTTCCATCTTCTTGTTGTGTCCTCACATGGCAACAAGAGCTCTCCAGGGTCCCTTTTATAAGGGCACTCACCCTATCATAGGACTATCATAGGACCTATCATAGGACTCCACCCTCATGAGCAAATCACCTCCCAAGATCCCACCTCCTCATCCCATCACTTTAGGGGTTAGGATTTCAACCTAACCTAATTCCTATTTCACAATAGGAATTGTGAGGGGCACCAATGTTCAGTCCATAGCACTGTGAAATCATCTAAGACAATGTTCAGTCCATAGCACTGTGAAATCATCTAAGACAGGCAGCCAAATGAGTCTCCTGCAACGTATCTGAAAAAAAAGGTGAGCAACACAGCAAACTCCCTGTACATTCCAAATATCAATATCTGGTTTGTGTCCAGAGCGTCTAGGTCGTGAGCTAGAGTTTTTCATTTTCTCAGGATGTTTTGGGATTTGCTGACGTATCTGTAGATGCAGTGACTGTACACAGAAGTCACACCTCTTCATCTTTTCAGACTCCTAAGATTGTGGCAGGTGACATGACTAACACACCACTTGAGGTGTTTTGAGTAGATGGGATTTGATACAGGGCTTGAGGTGCTTCCAGGATCACTGGAGAGGCTGTGTTCCACACTGGGCCTCCAGAAATGACTCTGGGAGCAAAGTAGGATTGGCACCAAAGAGCTGTAAACCGGAGGTGAGAGGCAGAAGGTTACCACTGGAATGGGTGGACTCAAGAATGCAAACAAATGGGGCACAGTGGTTTATGCCTGTAATCCCAGCACTTTGGGAGGCCAAGCCCAGGAGTTCAAGACCAGCCTGGGCAACATAGGGAGCTCCATCTTTACAAAAAAAAAAAAAATATATATATATATATATATATATGAAAACTAGCCAGGTGTGGTGGTGTGTGCTTGTAGTCTCAGCTACTTGAGAGGCTGAGGTGGGAGGATCGCTTGAGCCCAGGAGATTGAGGCTGCAGTGAGCCATGATCACACTGCTGCACTCCAGCCTGGGAAACAGAGCAAGACTTTGTCTTAAATAATAATAATAAAAAATAAAATAAGATGAAAAATAACACAAACAACTCTGGTTGCAATCCAGGGTCAGGAAGGCTCTGCCCACTTGCCCCTTGGCACCCCAAGGTGGATGCCTGGATGCTGGAATGCCACCACAGAAAACCCCGAGTTTTTATGCTGTGGCACCAGCAGGACGCATCAGGAGCTGGTCTCTGCCCCAGGTCTCTTGTGACTACATCTCATTGGTTGAATCTCATTCACCTCCAGCACCTTGGCTGCAAGGGAGCCTGGGAAACGTTTTGTTTTGTTTTGTTTCACTTTCCAGACTAGGAAGATACATCCAAAAAGGAAGTGATTGCGCCACTGCACCCCAGCCTGGGCGAGAAATTCGCTGGCAGTGTCAGTCGCTGTCTCCCTGCACTTCATCCGTCTGATATCCCAGTACCTAGTGCTGTACTAGGCACACACTGTACTTCAAAAGGAAGCATTAGTCTGCATTAATTATCACCAGTGCATTCGTCTGTGTATTGTCTGTTCATTCAACAAATATTTAGTAAGAACCAGGCATTGAACTCGTGGTTAACGAGGAGCTTCCATTCTGGTTGGAAGAGGCAGACGGTAAGCAACATGAATGGGCAAGTCCACGGAAAGATGGTTTCAAATACAGCTAAGTGCAATGAAGACGGTAAACCAGGTAAGGAGATAGAGAATGACGGCAGGAGGGACACACCTGACCTGGTGCCATTTGAGCCAAGGCTTGCATCGTAAAGAGTCAGACAGGAAACAATCCAGAAGAAGAGTGTTCTAGACAGAAAGCATAGCGCATGCAAAGGCCCTGAGGTCACAGCAATGTGATGTCTTCCAGGATCTGGGAGGAGGCCAGTGTAGCTGGGACTGGGGGAGTAGAAATCTGAGAAAGCAGAGAGGATGGAAAGCGAGGGTGGAAAGAGTAGGCAGGGGCTGTGGTGATCTTGCCAGCCTAGTGAGCTGGGAAAAGCATGCATTCTATTCTAAATGGGATGGTTAAGCATTGAAGGTTTTTAATGAGAATGACATGCTCTGTTGGTGGTTTAGACCATGTCTGCAAACTCTCTGATGCTTCTTCTCTGGAAGATGAGGTCTAGGACTCCTCCCCTGGAGTTGGGCAGGCCTATGAGATCGTTTGGATGGCTTGACTGGCAGAAATGACTCTGTGTGACTGTCAAGGTTAGGTGAGTAGAGAAGCTTCTGCCTGGGCCCTGTCTCAGGATGCACGCTTTAGGAGCTGCGTTGTAAGGAGTCCTTGTAAGGAGTCCAGCTACCCTGGACTCCTTGTAGAGAGGCCACAGAAAGTCATTCAGAGGCTCAACTGGGCTGAAGGTGCAAGGTTTCTTGCTCATGTGGCCATCAGTGGTGCTTGCTGCTATTGGGAGCTCCACTGGACTTTTGACCAGAGCTCCTCAGCTCACCTCTGTGTATCCTTGCCATGTGGCTAAGGCTTCTAACAACACAGAGGCTGGATTCCAAGAGGAGGGAAGTAGAAGCTTTCAGCCTTCTTAAGACCAGGATTCAGATGTCCCAGACTGTCATTGTATTGACCGGAGCATTTACAGGCCAGCCCAGTAATTTTTCCATCTCTGGGCAAGAACAGGTAGCATATGCCGAGGGTAGGGGTAGCATTGTTGGGGACCATCTTTGGAGCAGTGTGCCAAGGAGTAAATTGCTGGGCTGCTTTCTACCTGGGGAGGTTCACTGTGTTTGCTTGTGGAGAGGGGATTGTGTGCTCAGAGTCCACCAGGATTTAAGAATCAGTTCCCAGCCCTGCTCCCCTTGCCTCAGCCCGTGCATTAGGGCCCTGTGGTGAGGGCACTGAGCCATTGTGAATCAAGGCCTCTCCCGCAACCTGCATACTGACAGGCGAGAGGAGCTTTCTTGATTTTGGTCCTAGGCTTCTGCCTGTGGGTTGGATTCCAGGGGCACTCCGTCCTCCACAAACCAGTGACAGGTGCAGCCCCTCCATGGAGGCTGTCCACACTTCACCCTAAAGACAGATCCTGCTGTTCAGCAGCAATGTGAGTGGCCCACACATTTGCCCAGCATGAAACTGTTTTCAAATTCCTTTCCAATACACAGTCCCATCAGCCAGTCACATCACGATGACAGCTCCTCGAAACACCTTTTGGTTTGCAGTTGCGTAGCTTAGAGCCTGCACAACTTCAGGACTTCACAGAAAGAACACACTTTGTGCTTCGAGAAGTTAATTATGGGAATATCCTGCAACCTGCTGCTCTGAGCCTGTGCACCTGGGGTGTTTCCCCGGAGGTCCTGTGTATGCGGATACTCATCAGCATGGGGTTTGGGGAAGCCTAGCACTGGAGGCAACCTAGGTGGTGCTCTCCAGGGGAGTGGGTAAGAGCCCCGCAGTGTATGCGTATGAGGGGATCCTAGGCAGCAGTGAAAAGCATTGAAGGGAAAGCATGTTCAGCAGTGCTCTGAATCTGATCAGAGGGGATCCTAGGCAGCAGTGAAAAGCATTGAAGGGAAAGCATGTTCAGCAGTGCTCTGAATCTGATCAGAGCAACCTGAACACATTTTAAACACAGGGCATCTAGAACTAGGGTAGAGGCACTAGAGCACCATAGACACAAACTCAGATTCTGAAGGTAAATGTCCAAGTTCCAATCCAAGCCCCCTCGCCAACTGACCACGACTCCCCCAAGTTACCTGACCTCTGTGTTTACATCCTTAAAGTTAAGTAGTCAGGAAAGGGGGCTTGGGGCTTGCTACATGAATGGTTGCCACTCTCCTTTGCAAAGTGTAGTCCCCAAAAACAGGTGGAAGAGGGAAGGGTCCAATCAGAAGGCCGAGTACCAGCTGCCGTGAATATGCCAGAGCTGCTGGCTAGTGATATATCACTCAAATCCGGTGGGACAGCAGAGCTAGGGTGACCTTACATTCTAGGAAAGAAAAGATGCCTGTTGTCCTGGCTTTTTATCCAGCTTAAACAAAGATGGGCAAAGAAAATAATTTAGAAAATAGTAGAGATGAGCTCAGAGAAAGGGCACAGATGGAAGCACAAACAGAAGGCCAAGTGATGGTGGAGGCAGACACTGGAGAAATGCCTTTGCAAGCCAGGAGATGCCAAGGATGCTGGTGACCCCGGGAGCGGGATGAACCTGGAACACGCTCTCCCTCAGAGTCTCCAGAAGGAACCGGCCCTGCATCACCTTTTGGACTTCTGGCCCCCAGAACTACACAAGAAAACGTTTCTGCTATTGGAGGCCATCCAGCTGGTGGCCATTTGTTATGGTCACCACAGAAAAAAATATAGATTTAGGCATCTAATTTGCATATATAGATGTGCATGTGTATTTGTTAAATAAAACATAAGGCATAATAACTCAATGGACAACAATACAACTCATTAAATTGTGTTGGTTAAAAAAATGATAGATATCACCCACACATTTTTATGTGCTGGTAAAGAGAAAAATCCAAGACTACATAGGGTTCCTCTTATTTTAATTATTTTATTCTTTTAAACAACAAACAATGTGGCTAAAGCAAACAGAAATTATTTTTTCATGAAACAAACAGAAAGGGTTCAATGCACTTAAATGATTAAAATGATCAACCATTCCCACCAGCATGGAAACAGGGCTGGGGTTGCAGACAGTGATGTGTGTGGTGTGCATCTGTGGGGTTTGGGGTTTTGCTTATTTTGAGGGATGGGAGTAGAAGCCTTTCCGAGAAATGCACACCCAGGAGCGAGTTCCTGGGCCACAGAGCTGGCTCCCTGCTGACTGACTGGTTCATGGTGCAATCTGGGTTTGGGGGCAGCTTTGCTGCAGGCAGGAGCCTCAACCCTTCAGAACAGGATTCCACTCCTGAGACCTCATCTGTCCCTGAGTCTCAGGACACACCAGCCGGAAACTGCAACCCTTCTGTGTCAAGCAAACAGCACTCATGCCTTTGCAATTCCCCAGTGCTCCCAGCACACCTGCAGCATTTGGGAACACTGTTCTCAGTTTTCTCTGTGTGCTCATCTACTTGGATGCCAGACTATTATCATCATCCTCATTCTACAGGGGAAACTGAGGCACAGAGAGGTTAAAGTCACTTTCCCATTGTAGGGACAACAGGACTAGAACCCCAGAGCTCCACCATCCAACTGAAGGAGGAAGGGGGCTTAGCTGCGTGGAAAGGGGGCGCCCTACGGAACACACCCTTGGCTTCACCTTCACCTGTACTTGGCCGCCTCCGTTTCCCCTTTCTATCTTCCTGGACCTCAGTTCAAGGGCCACCTCCTCAGAGGGGCCGTCCCCACACCAGGGCACCTTCCCCCCACTCCTCCCCATTTTGCTCTCTGCGTGGTACCTTACTTGTCACTGTCTGAAGTTATCCTGCTTTTGTCAGGGTCCCAGGGGCAGGGAATATTCTCTCCTGTTCCTGGAGATCGTTGCCTCCCCGGCACTTAGTGGGGTGCTGGCTCCCAGGTCCCGGGTCTGCATTCTCGTGGGCTTGGGCCCTGACCTCAGCCTCTGACATTTACATCCATGTCTGGAGTGCCAGGCACATCATATTTTACCCTCGATGGGAACAAGACAGTTGCCCCATTTTGATGTAAGAAGAGGCCAAGTCCCCTGGCCCAGGTCACAGCAACAGGTGAATTGAGAGCCAGGCACCCCTGACTCCTGAGTCCCAGGTTGCAGCCTGGCCTGAGGGCTGGGAAGACTTAAGGAAATTCCAAAGGAACAGTTACTGTTTTTGTTACAAGTCAATAGCCATGAGACCAGGATGCTGGATGCCCAGGGTCTCGCCATCTGTAGGTTTACACAGAGATTCCAGAAACGAGGCAACAGGCATGAAGTCACCCCACAAAGGCCAGGCCATCCAAGTAGGACACCCCATGAGAAGGAAGTGGGTTCTGTGCCCGCCTCAGCCTGTAAAAACAGGACAGCAGGGCAGAGGAATGAAGAGTCCCCATCCAAGGGCTCTGCGGGGCTTCCACACCATCCCTGAGCCATCCCCCTTGGGCCTCTGGTGAGCATGTGTGCGTGGGACACTAGGACCCTATTTTTTTAAGCCACTATGGTCAAGTCTCTCCTACAGCAGCTGTACGTGCTCGGTAACTAAAAGATGCTTGAATGTCTGACTCCTTTTGCATTTCCTTGAGAGGCAGCAGTTCACCCCAGGAAGGATTAGGATGTTATGGTTGGAATGCAGAGAGAAAGCTTTTGATTTCCAAAACAGGCTATTTGAGTCTGTGTCATCCCAATAGCCCCGCAGTCCTGCATTCTGACCACCTGCCCTTTCCATAGCAGGAGTCAAGGCCTCTGAAACAGGTTGTGGAGTTTCACAGAACCCACAAGTAGAGGAATCCCTGCCTGCACCTGCAATGGGAATCCTTCCGAAGGGAAGGCTGAGAGAAGCGAGGTGAGGCTGGGGTAGGTATGGCTGGGTGGGGTGAGGCTGGTGTTCTCAGGGTTGAACCTCATGGGGTAGATGCAATCTGAGAACTCAGGGAGTCTGAGGACTGTGCGACCTCCAAGCAACTACCCTGAACTACTCATTCATGATTTTTAGATAGAGCCGCACTCTCCCCTGCAGGGAGGAGACAAAAATTTCTGAGATGGCAGAGAAAAATAGTCACCCTCATGTGGGAGTGCCCTGGGGCTGCCAAAGAAAATTACCACCACAAATTTGGTGACTTAAAACAACAGAAAGTTATTTTCTCCTAATCCTGGGGGCCAGAGCCTGAAATCAAGCTGTCAGCAGGCCTCTGTTTTCCCCAGAGGCTCCAGGGGCGGCTACTTCCTGCCTCTTCCAGCTCCTGGTGGCTCCAGGCACTCCTGGGCTTGTGTAGCTTCACTCCAATCTCTGTCTCTGTGTCTTCTTCTTCTGTCTCTTATAAGGGCACTGTCATAGGACTCAGGAACCTCTCCAAACAGGATGATCTCATGTCGAAATGCCTAACTGATAATACCTACAAAGACCCCTTTTGCAAAGAAGACCTCACTCACAGGCTCAGGGGTTTGGATGCGACCATCTCTTCTTAGTGAAGAGTCGTGAGGGCTACCATTCAGCCCACTACACCCAGCAGTAGCCGTTCCATGCCCTGCAGCTGCACTGAGATGACAGAAGTTGTAGGAAATTCTTCCATTTTCTTTTCCTGGAAAGCAAAACTAGTGCAGGAAGAAGGGAGGGGAGAGTAGGAGATGTGTCTGGACTATGGGCTTGGCTGCTGCACTGCAGATCCTGAATAGCACAGGTCTGAATGAGAAGGAAATTAAGTCTTGCTTGTTCACAGCTCTCCAGGTGTGCAGTGTGCAGGGCTGAGTGGCAGTCCCTGTGCCAGGGATCCAGCATCTCTTGCTGGTTCCTCTGCCAACCATAGGCTGCTGTACCCATCTGCATGGCTCACCTCCAAGTCCTCTTCCTGGCCAAGGGGAGGGATGTCCATGACTAATGGTGAGGTTGTTGCACATTGGCATGGCTGAGAGCCTCCTTCTGGTGCCATGTATTCTAACTGCCTGTATTCTATTGGTTGTTCAATGTTTGGGCTGCCACCCCTGGTATATCCCTCCCCTTGAAGGTATGACCCAGAAGTTATACCTATCACATCCTCTTCCACTCACACCCTATTGGCCAGTATTTGGTCATATGACCACAGCTAGCTGCAAGGGAGTCTGGGAAATGTATTCTTTATTGGAGGTGGCCATCTGCCTGGCAGAAAATTCTAATAATGGATACTGGGGAAATGGATAACTGGGTGATAGCTAACATTCTCTGCAAAGGAGGGATCTGACTTTCTGGGACCAGGCTCAGCATCTCCTGGCTCTTCCAATGACTGGGAGACTGCTGGAGAAAGGCTGATGGGTCTTTGCCTGGAAAAGCCCTAGATCTTATGGTGGCCTGGATCCTTGAGGATAGCAGTTATGGGACGTTGCTGGCTTCACTTTGCTTGTTTTTACACCAGCTGATGCCCACTGCCCCAGCATGACAAGGGTTCAGCTTTCTGTCCTTTGAGATGATAGCCCACTCTCTGCCCAAATAGGTGAAGAAAACTGCATTGATTGTACACTTTGGTGCTAGGTACTGTAGCAAGCATTTCTCCATGCATTACTGCAATTTGAGAAGCTGCAGGAGCTCTCTGGCAAACTGCCGTCTGCAAAATAGGATGTAAACAATCCCCCAGAGTAGCCTGCTCAAGGCCTTTGGGGACCTGGGGGTAGCCCCCAGCATGAGTTGGCTGTGGGGTGCTATGTTGCCCAGCAGGCAGTGTGAGGTTACTAGCCATAGGAAGGCAAAACCACCTCCTTTCCTTGGCAATATCCTACCTGCATTGTGTGTTTCAAAGCCTCCTGCCAGACCCCAAACGAAGCACTCACGCCATCCTGTTCTCGTTGTGGCTCAGTGATAATAGAGAGTGGACCTGCTCTAGTCCACTCATTCATTCACTTTTTCAGCAGTCATTCATTTATTCAGCAAATAAGAGTACGTTCTAAAGGCCAGACCATGTGTTAAATGCGCCAGGCATCATCTCTGCAGCTAAGCAGTGTGTGATATTATGGATAGACAGACACAGACATGATTGTATCATGCTAAACTATTATGCTAAAAGTAATGTGAATTGGCCAATAAGGATATGGAAATAGGTCCAGCCTCACTAGAACTGTTCAGGAAATGTGAATACTAATCCCCCAGATACCTACTTCCGGGTATATATCTAGAGGAACTGAAAATGGGGCTGAGCTTGGTGGCTTGCACCTGTAGTCTACCTACTCAGGAGGTGGAGGAGGGAGGATCTTTTGAGGCCGGGAGTTCATTTTTGTAGTGAACTTTGATCACACGACTTCATTCCAGCCTGGGCGATAGAGCTAACCCATCGCTTAAAAAAACAAGAAATGAAAAAACAGAAACTGGATCTTGAAGATATATTTGCACACTTATATTCACAGCAGCACCATTCACAACAGCCAAGAGGTGGAGGCAACCCACGTATCCATTGACAGATGAATGGAGAAACCAAATGAAGTAACATTTTTCACCCACTGGATTAATTCTATTATTGGTGGAGTGTCAGTGGCTGAATTCTTTGGTTGAGTAATTTTGGAACAAGCTTAAAATTTTAAATGCATGAATCCTGTGATACAGCAGTGTCTCATTTGCAAGTTTTGAGAAACGAAAAGAGGTGACAGGTTGGCTTAAGTGCAACAGTGGAACCGCTTAGCACTCTGCCCAGCAACCAGCTAGCACTCAAGAAGTGGCAAAGAACCTTATCATTCCACCAGTGCTGAGAAGACGTCCCTCCCCTCACACCTCCCAACCAGCTTAGTCGTAGGAGCAGTGTTAGCAATCAGGGTTTCCAGAGAAACAGAACACACACACACACTCACATGCACACACACAAACAGAATAGCCCCTGCACACACACAGAACACCCCCCACCGTGCGCGTGTGCGCGCGCACACACACACACACACACACACACAGGTTTACATGGCTGTGGAGGCTGGCAAGTCTGAAATCCACAGGGCAGCCTGGCAGTCTGGAAACCCAGGCAGGAGCTGATGCTGCGGTCTTGAGGCAGAATTCCTCCATCCCAGAAAAACCTCAGATTTGGTTCATAAGGCCTTCACCTGATCGGATGAGGCCCACCCATGCCGTCAAGGGTAATCTGCTTCCCTGAGAGCCGACGGACGGTAGAGGTTAAACACGTCCACCACATAACCTTTGTAGTAACATTTAGATGAGTGTTTGAATCGCTGGGCACTACAGCCTGGCCACACTGATGCATAAACCTGCCTGTGGCAGGGGCCAAGGTCAGATCACACCGTCTCTGACTGGGTCCCTCTTCCCTGCAGGCCCAGGCTCTGCCTGTATCTGACATTGGGCCAAGCCTTGTAGCACCACCACTTGGGATTATACTGAGGTGCTGACTGACGCTTTAAGGTTTTTGTCTTTCTCTACTTCTGAGCTTATCAATGGGACAAAAAGTCAGAGCCTCGGTCCATTGCTGGCCTTTCAGCCACCTGGCAAGCCCACAGTTGGACGGCCTCCTCCGGAGAGGCACCTTGCCATTGGTGAAAGAAGAGCAGGAAGAGAGGATGAGCACAGCAACACTGACTGAGCATTTATTATGCACCAAGGGCCTTTAACCCACTTCTGAGTATTAACTTCTTTAATTATACAGTTAGATACTATTACATTATTACACCCATTTTACAGATGAGGAAACTAAGGCCTCCAAAGGTGAAGCAACTTGCTCAGGTTTTCATGGCTAGAACAGGGAGGGTCAGAATTTGAACACAGGCCCTCTGGCTCTATCTACACTCTGTTCTCTTGTTTCAGATGTCACTGTCTGTCCCTATGTCAACCTTGGGTCTGACAGCTGAGAACAGGACAGACACCCAGAAGTCTTAGCCTCGATCCTGAATTCCTCTTTTGACAAATGGAAACCTCATTCCACTCTTGCCGATGCATCTTCTAATCCAGAGCAGAACATAATCCCCATCTCTTTCCTCTGGAATGTTGGGAGAATTTGTGTCTGTCAAATGCTTTGGAGAAATGTGAGAAGAATGTTTAAAATGCCATATCCTTTTTACAAAAAATCAATTACAGGTTTGCCTTTGGGGTAACCCCAAGACGACATAAAATCTCAAACTTTCATCCCACCGGAGTGAACGAAAATAATTACTCCGTTAGGTTTTCAGCGATTGTGCAATTGCCCTGGATTTCACATTCAAATTCCAACCAGGAGGGAACTGCGATCTTGGAGAGAATTCTAAAGAAGTGCCGCGAAGGCACAGGTCTCTTCCACAGGGCCCAGGCCTCAGAGCCAGCAGAAACTGCAAAGCAGCATTTGCAGTCAAAGCAATTGTGACAGCTCCTCTGGTAACTTCACTCTGCAAACTGGAAGAAATTAGCTCTGACCACAGACCATCCGACAGACCCGTATTTAATAATACTTCCCAAATGTGTGAAGCACTTAGTTTTAGAATAACAGGAAGAACGGAATCGCCTGGAACTACAGATTTGAGTTTCATTCTGGCCATCACACCTTCCCAGGAGCCTTGCTCCTCTGGCGTCCAAGAAGGGTGGCCAAAGCCCGGTGCTGCTCCCCTGTGGCCCCCACCCCGGGTCTGGCCGGTCTCAGAGAAGGGTGATGTTGAGGCTCTGTGCCCTGCACCCCTGGCCTTCTCAAGGCAGAAGTCAGGTCTGCCTGGGGAAGGAGCCCACGTGCCAGCTCGGGCCTGGAAACGTGAGTCTCCACAGATTCCACCAGGCTGCGGAACGGCTACAAAATTGCTCCCTTCCTTTTCAGCTGCTCCTGGACAGCTCCAGGAGGCCTTTCCGACAAGAGAGCATTGTGTCCCATTGGAGCCCTCCCCTGTCACAAAGGGGGCCTTTCACAGCGGCAACTGGGGAGGGTGGGGACCTCAAGGCCCTCTTGTTAACCAGCTCTGGGCACAGTGGCTGTGGCTTGAGCTACCACTACCTGGAACGGACCCTCCTTGGAGACAAACCCCTTATTTGACTTCCAACAGGGAGCTCTCCTGAAGGAGGCCAGCTTGTTTGTTGAGAAGAGAAGTGGTTGGCTACTTACTGCAAACAGATGATACAAAGTTCACATATCCCTTCTGGAATAAGGGCTGTGGAGGGATAGATGGGCTTGTGGTGGGAATGGTTTTCAGAAGGATATGCAAGAGATTGACGCTCCTGGTTGTATCCGGGTAGCTGGTTAGTGTGCAGAAGGGACAGGAGGGGAAGAAACTTACACTCTGTCCCTGTGGACTTAGGCATATTGGACTATGTGAACAAATATCTAATTCAAAAATATCCTCACCCTGCAAAAGTCTAAATATATACTCCCATCTCAGAGAGGGAGGGTGGGAGGGGATGAGAAGTCCTGCTGGCTATCCCTGGAGACTGGTCAGGGCATGTGTGTGTGTGTGTGTGTGTGTGTGTGTGTGTGCACGCACATGTGCCTGGATGTGTGTGAGAGAAGAGCTAAAATGTAATTGCTTTCAGCGGAATATGGCCCTACTGTGTAATTAAACCAAGGGGGCTGTTGGCTCCCAGAGTTTAAGCAATTTCATGTGCATTTGGTGATTATGCCTCTCTCCTTGGATAAAAGTGCTGCTTCTATTTTCACCATACACAATACACAATGCTTCCCAGACCAGGATGAAGGGTCACCTTCCCTGCCCACCTCGGCATGAGGCTCCCTCCAGCTGGCAATCCGGGAAGGCTGGGCTCCTAGTGGGTGCTGGGAGGGGAGGTCAAAGAGAAAAACTCCAGGAATGTCCACCACCGCCTTGGCCAGAGAGAGAGCATGGCAGCTCTGGGCTTCTCTGGACTGACGGGGCCACTGTGTTCTGCGTCATCCAAGGACACACGTGCTCAGCTGAGCTAGTCTTTTATTGCTGGAGGCGTGAGTGTCCCTGCTCTTTGATCCACCACTCCTCTGTGGTTTCTTCTGTGACCCATGGGTTATTTGGAAGAGTGTTCCTTAATTTCCAAGTCTCTTGGGATTTTTTCCAGATATTTTCTTGTTGATGTCTAACTTAATTCCATTGTGGTCGGGGAACATATTCTGGACGTTTAGTCTTCTGCAATGTATTACAACTTGTTTTATGTGCCAGCATATGGTCTGTCTTGACGAATGTTTCACATGCCCTCACAAAGACTGAGTGTTCTACCCTTGTTGAGTGAGTATTCTATACGTTCCGTTAGGTCAAGTGGTGGCTAGTTTGTTCCAATGTTTTATATTTTTACTGATTTCTTTTGCCTACTTCGATCAACTGCTGAGAGGATTTTAACATCTCCAATTATGATGGTTGATTTCTTGGTTTCTCCTTTTTTACTATAAAACTTTGCTTTATGATATTTTCAAGCTCTGTTATTAGGTATCTACACCATGTACCTATTCACATTAGGTTAATATACATGTATATTATAATATAGTTAATTAAACCATGTAAGTATTTATTAATTATAACAGTAACAAATATTAAGTTTTATTAATTAATGTGTAATTATAATTTATTGAATTATAAACATTAGGCAATATATCATATATAATTTATATAAATAAATATATAATATAAATACATAAATGTATAATAATAATTATTATAACATTATAATATAATTAATAATTATAATTAATAACATTATAATTATAATTAAATATAATTAATTTATAACATTATAATTATAATTAATAATATATTAATTATAACAAAATATTAGTTTTATTAATTAATATGAATATATACATGGATGAAATTATGTATATATACAATATATAATATATGTGCATACAGTACATAGACACACATGTAGAGAGAGCTCACTCCCATCTCTGTGCCCCATTTTCTCAGTTTTTAGCATCTCCTCCTCTCTGCCCCGTTCCTGGATAACCACTTTTATTCTTCTAGGATTACTTTATGCACATAAGAGAAAATGCTCTATCTACACTCTGTTCTGCAACTACAGTGGACCCTGAACAACGTGGGTTTCAACTGATTCAACATGGGTTTGAGTCCATGTATCCATTTATATGTGAATTTTTTTCAACCAAACCAGGATGGAAATACAATGTTCATGGATGTGAAATCTGCACACATAGTGGGCTGACTGTTGGTATCGTGGGTTCCACAGGGCTGACTGCAGGACTAGAATACGTGCAGATTTGATATATTCAGGGGTCCTGGAACCAAGTCTCCGAGTATAGCAAGGGATGACTGTATATATATTGTTCCTCCTACAAAAAAGTTAGTGCATCATAGATACCCTTTTGCAGTTTGGCTGTCTCCCTAACAACATACCTTGGTGCTCCTTCCCTATCAGCCCCAAAAGAGCTTCCTCCATCTTGGTGGCAGCTGTCTGATACTTAGTC